TGCTTTTGGAGCACAGAAAATTAGCATCTGGATATTGCTTCCAACAGCTATACCAAAGATGGAAAGCCAATACTATTATGAAATCCAAAACAGAAAAACAGCATAAGAAAGACTACCAAAAAATGAAACTGAAAGGGATAGACAAGACGTTTTGTCTTTTTCAAGAAATAATTTGATCTAAATTACTAATGGAAAATAACACTGATTTAGAAAACTCAAAGAGCTTCCATGATGCATGTTGTAAACCTCTCACCTCAATTACTCATTCTCTGGTCTATGGACTTAATGTATCTTATGGTGCTAAGGTTATAGCCAGCATTACAAATGCTAGATTGATAAATTTGGTCCAAGCCAATTGAGGCATTTATCCATTCAAAATTGAATCAAGAAATAGGCAAACCATATTTACAGAACACAAGAAAAATTCCCTGGTTGTTTCCTATCAGCCATTCAAATAAGCAACTGAAATGCAACAAAAATATAAAAAGAAAATAAAAACGCAAGAAAGGCATTCTGCTTACATCACCAACATTGAGATCCGGATTTCCATGAGTGTTTCCATTTCCAGATGCATTGTTCTCATCATTAGGAATCCACTTGGAATTGCTACTCTGAGGCCCATCAGAACCATTGTTGGGGCTCTTAATGAACATTGCATCACTAACTTGATCCCCTAGGTCCATAGATTCATTGGTCATGCTGGTACTTTCTGAAATATTTTCCAGCTCCGCATTAGATGTCTGGTGCTTCTCAATTTCCAGTCTTAAAAACACCTTGCACAGGTTTATGGACCATGCATTTAGGATCCTGTTAAAATAAAGAAAACAAAAAAAAAAAGAAAAGAAAAAAGAGTGAAGCAGAAAATCAGAGGTCATTGCTGCATAAATGACAAAGCACCAAAAAGGGAAAAAGAAGAAAAAGAAAAAACGGGGGACGAAGATGCTGAAATGCTTAATCTAGAAAAAAAATATGCATATAAATGCTTTTAATTAGTGAAAAAGGTAATTACGTGCATTTCTATATTCAAAAAAGGATAAGTTCTCATAAAATATCTAGAGAACATTTCAGAGTCTTCATTTCTTTGACCTCCCTTTTTTCACAGCATTTCTTTGGCAGAGTTGTTTTGGGTTTTCTATTAGCACCTCACTTACTTTCTTCAATACTTTCTTATAAGCATTTCAAATGCTAAAAAGTAGAGTTTCCCTCCCATACTTCTTTAGACTTGTGAGAGAAAAAAGTGCTTATAAACAAGTTGAAGAATAAGCTCTGCCAAACAAACAGTCATTGAGGGTCATTAGCTCCCCTGCACTTATCAGTCAAATGCATGCACATTTGCTAA